TGGAGGAGGGGGCTTCCCACAAGGGGACCGCCTGACTCTGGGACACTACTGCAACCGTCATAAGTGTGAATCAGTTGCCAAGTGCCCTGATGATGAACACGTGATCGTGATGGGGGATGGAGCCATGGTCCGGTGGTGGCTTCCGGATCCCGTTACAACCGGTATTCTGCAACGGGGCCAGGAGCCCACCACTTGCAACCGCGGATCCGTACCCACCGTCTGCGATGCTCCAGCTGCTCGGCGGAGCGTCGCACAGGCGCCGTACGCTCCGTGCAAGTGCGCAAATGGCCCAATCAGATCAAATAGCGGTAAGGAGACCAGGCGGGTAGGTGGGCCTTCTGGAGCACCGTACCAGAACAGTACCTGGTGCTCCCAGCAAGCACCGGTACGCCCATACCGGGGCATACCGATCGTATCCCACCACTGCCGTGGTCGTATCTGTGGAAAACGGTCCCTTTTCGTTGTGACATTGAACCGTCACTAAATGGTTGTAAGTCGAGGAGTACCCGCAGGCGAAGGGAGAGGAAACAGAATAGAAACAGGCCTGTAAGGATATCCGCACTTACCTCTAAGCGTCCTCACCACTCCCAGGTTGTTTAAAAGAGGGTGGGAATTATCGCAAATCCCAGGGCGATGAAGGCTAGAGCTTGGGAGGGGTGGGGGGTGGGGGTAAGGATGCCAGGCCAGAAGGAAGAAAGACTCAGCTGAGGGAGGGAGGGAGGGTAAGGATGGGCACAGCGAGCCCAAAGAGACAGCCCCCCCCCGCCCCCATCTTCCAAAGCATGCACAGCAAAAACAATAATATATTTTTTTAAAATCATTGTCCCGACATGCCAGCATAAAGACGGGGCTGTTGCAGCCTCAATGGGTCCTTTGTGAGGCAGGACAAATGGCAATCGATTGCATAAAGAGTGGCGGCTCTGGATCCGGGCCTAAAAATATATATATTGCATTAGTCAGGGGGGGGAAATAAAAGGTGGGGCAGGAGAAAACGACACAAAAATGTTCAAGGATAACATGACCTCTTAATACCCCCTGCCAGGCACCTCCAGGCCTTTTTCTCTTCCGTTTCAAGAGGGGATCCCTGTCCCCCCCCCACTTCCCCCCCCAGCCTCTGAGCACCCCCAGGACAGGCACTGCGAGTGGGGAGAAAGCCCAAAGGCTTCCTTTGACGGTCCTTGCTTTTGCTTGCCAAAGGGCTTGTAAAGCAACACCCGAGCTGGGATTTCAGTTTATTTTAAAATTTTAAAAAGTTAATCTTCTTTCCTTTCTCTCCCTCCTTCCCTTTCCTTTTTCTTTCATTTCTTTCCTTCCATCTCCTTCCTTCCCCTTCTTTTTCTCCATTTTTCTTTCTCTCCTGCTCCATCTGTTTTCTCTCCCTCTCCTCTTATCCCTGTTTCTTCCTTCCTTTCTTTTTCTCTTTTCTTCCTTCCTTCCCTCTATATCTATCTATCTATCTATCTATCTATCTATCTATCTATCTATCTATCTATCTATCTATCTATCTATCTTCTATCTATTATCTA